AGAAGAGTTGTTGGAAGGGAATATGATTGGGGTGATTGGATTTTTAACCCTTTCGTTTCTGAATTTCGTTCAGGCGACGCTGAGATTGGCTGTAATTTTTCTTTTTTTTTTAGGGGGATTTTTTTGTTAGGAGGATATTATTTTTGGAAAATGTTTAATGCGTTTGGATAGTGAGATAGTGAGGATCGAGTATATTGGTCAAGTATTTTTGCTACTTATAAGTAAAGATTTTTCAAAAAAGAAGAAATTTAAGGAAGTTAGTTACGATATAATGTGTGATATAAAGCTGAGCTGTGAAAAAGGAAAAGTTTATGAAATAAACGGTTCGTTATTTAAATATTTCGTTGTTTGGGAAAGGTTGTGAGTAAAGTAAGATTATTTATAATTCGAGGGTTAGTAGGAGGTTACATGTACATTTTAGATTTGCGGGGAAAATTTAAGAAAAAAAAAAAAATATCGAGAATTTGCAACAATGATGATTAATATTTCCGAGTAAGTATTAAAATTTCAAATGTAAATTTTAAATTTTAAGGAACGAGAGGGTTAAATACGAGATATTCACAGGGTAAATTAGAAATGATAATTCTCTATCGGCGTTTAATTTAATCTAAAGGAATTCGTAGCTATAGGTTAAGGGGATAAGCTTCCTAATCGAATATAATAATTTTGATATCTCGTGAAACCTTTCGTCGAATATTTTGATACGAGTGATTATTTGACAATCATATAAAATATTTTGACCATGTTGTGGCTATTCACATATCGGTCAGGATAATTTAAACTCACACTTCCATTTGCCAAATAGCACGTCTAATATGTATATAATCGAGAATATTACACGGGATTCTCTTGTTCCAGTTTAACTCGAACGACAAAATATCTCGAATATCTATTAACATTATATATTGAAACCTTACGCGCCTTTTCTTCGAAACATTTCTCTCTTTCGATCCAAAAAATATCCAAGATATTTCGCTGTCCAAGTTAAAGTGGGACACCCTGTATATATTTAATTAAAAAAAAAAACAAACAAACAATTTATTATATATTATACGTTGAGGGCCTTCGATAACGAGTGTCAACAAAAGATACTCTTAGGCGCAATGAAAAATCATTTCAAGCGATTTGAAAAAGAAAAATCCCGTCGAAACCCATTAATTCATATCGTTCGTTTCTACTTCTTCGACTAACTTTCGAAGTTAGTCCCGGTTCTTATCGGAGGCAGAGAATTATGCGCGATCTCTCCTTAACGTAACACGGCTCCTTGAGGAGACGTCATACGTCGCAAGACGTATTTTCTTTTATTCCACGATCCTCCCATCCCCTCCCCCTCTGCATACCTACCACTGAATCTCCCTGTTCTTTTCATCCTGTTCTGATCCTCCATTTGCTCTACACTCCGCTTCCCGCATACATTTATCTCACTTTGAACCTTATTTTCCACCCCCTCCTCTATCGAGCTCGATCGTGAGCTGGAAGAAAATTGTCCCCCCTCCCAACTTATGACAAACTTCCCGCACGTGTATTCTTCTCTTCTGATCCCTTCTGGTAGATTTGTGGTAGAAATATATAAATATGTATACATATACAATAGCGTAGAAGAAGAGCAAGTTGGAAGAAGAAAATTTTATTTCGCTCTCAGAGGATAAACCGTAGGGGAGGAAATTTGTGAAAATTTCGATCTTTGTAATTTTACAATTATCTATATGAATATATATATCAAACACTGTACCCTACTTTATTTTCAACAAATTTCTAAACTGTTTCTCTATAAGAAGATCAATCACCGATTCGAATTAATATCATCCGATTTATAGATTAAAATTTCTTCCTCCGTTTCATTCGTTAATCGTGGCAAAATGATTACAGAATTATTACGAGGTGATCTTCCTGCTTGTTACACGCGGATATTATCGGTTTGACAAATATTTCCAATGGCATTCACGCAGATCGGCGTACAAGGGTTCGCTCGTTATCGTCCTTTAGTATTCGATCGCTATGCGAATCGCTCGAAGCGCGGCGCGTATTTTGCGCTGATGGAGGACGAGAAAGGCGGGGTGGGGATGATGAGAGAAGCACCGTGCAAGAGGTTGGTGCATCGAGATCAATGAAAATCATCCTCTGTATATACAATGCCATGATAAACAAGAGAACAAACGGATTCTTCTTGGATCGGATGTAATTTATAGCGCATCAACAATCGGATTTTCTTCTTATTTGCGAAAAATTAATAGATTATCGTTGGTTACTACAACTTTTCATCGCGAGGATATTGATTTTTTTTTATTTTGATTCTGATGGGAGAAATAGGATTATTAAATTGTTCAGTAATAAGGTAGCAGGAGTTTAAATGTAAATTAATAGAGTAAGGCCTATGAGATAGGTAGAGTATTTTTGAAGAAGATGATCCTTTTTAACAACACACTTGTGAAAACTATATGTATATACAATTTACTTTCTGATCGAGCTAGATAATTCTCTTCCATAGAGAATTCCTCGAATTCGTTTCATCTGTTCCACATTCTTTAAGAAGAAAATCTTAATCTTTCAAAGATCGACCCTGACCTTCGATTAATTAAAAAAATCTCGTTTTTCAATTTCAACGACGGACAAACAACGTCGCCTGTCTATATTTTCTTATCTTTCATTCTCACTCTCTAAATTCACTTGACTTGAATATCATATATAAGAAATTCGAAATTTGAGCAATTTCCAAGCCGTTTCGCCAATTTGCATTCACATTCTTCCCAGCCACCCTCAGAGGCCGCGTCTTTCCATCCGCGTCTGTCCTCGTGCTCGTGTTTTAATTCTCTAATGGACGCGCCCGTGTTTTGATAAATCCATCCGGCCGGCTGTGAACTGATTGTAAATGGCTTAAGCCTATGAACTCCATGGCTCGCTCACCACGAGCGAAAAAAAAAGTTAGCTCTCCCCTGAATGGGGAGATATACCTTGAATCGCAGCCACGTGTTCCGTTTTACTTCATTCCCTTCCTTTCGAAACAGGCGTCAATAACAGGCTTTGATATTGGTACAAGTTTGGAATGTTTTCCGGCGAGAGAGTTTCTTCGATGGCCGGAAACGGAGGAGGACGGAAGGGGGGAGGGAGAGGGAAGAAAGGAGGAGATTCTGCGCGGGGCGGTTCCGGTCGCGGGAATCCGAGCTTCCTTTCACCTTGTTTAGCTTCTTTTCGCCGATCCAGTTTCCTTTCTCGCTGTGATTTTTCGCGCTGGTTCGTTTCCCAGTTAGATGCTCGACCGGATGAGAATCTGGAAATGGGAATTTCCAAGGCATTGCCGGTCAAAAGTTTGAAATCGTCAAAAACGCGCGCGTTCGAGAATTTCTCGAAATTTTTTTTTTTTTTATAAAAAGTTAGAAAAAGAAATCTTCCGTTTTCCATGGAAACGAAATTTGCGATTGGCGGTGATTCCGTGGAAGATAAAATGGAAAAAGAGAAAGTTGGAATCCCGTTATCCCGGAAGATTGTTTTTCCGATTGCGTTCGGAAAAATAGATTAGAATATTTTTGAATATTTTAGAAATTTCATACGGAAATAACGTAAGTTATTCGCGAAAAAGGTTAGGGGCTAAGCGAAATTACATTAATTCGAATATTTAAATATCGAGATATATATTGAGCGAAATATTTTTTTTTTTTTTCGAGGACTGGAAAAAGTGGATGGAGGAAAGTGATTTCAAATTTTTGATCGAGTCGCGCCACACCTCTGTTCAACAATGAATGCAAAGAAGAAAAAAAAAAAAAAAAAAAGACAATAAAAGAAGAAAGGGAACGAT